GCTAAACGTGTTCCTGCCCTGTGAGGTCCAGGGACATGTTTGGAAGCCTGCTTATGTTGCAAACTGGACTGGTTTTCAAGCTGCTCTCAGGGCAAAAAGGTGGAACGCAAAGGCTTGTCTATGCTGCTGAGACTCCTGAGTGTAGCACTATAGTCTCCCCCACCTACTCCCACTCCACATGCACCAATCCTAGAAATGAGGCACTGAAGCTACCCTGAGGGAAACCCCAGTGCCATTCTCATGCATGTCCTAGGCAGCTTGAGAGCAGCAACCGGGGCACCTCCAGAGGGGTGTTACATGATCCCCTTGGCATTCTAATTGCACCAGCTTGCCCCAGTTTATACCAATTTGCACTTATACCCATGGATAAATTGTGCCTCCTGGTTGATCTCTTGTGAACTTGACCCCCTGAGTTGTAAGCTAATTTTCTAAAAGACCTTTGCAGCTTGATGTTTACACACACTTTTTTTACAAGCCTGAATTTTCTTCCCACTGTGCTCAAGTGATGTGTCACACTCTGGGAAAGCATTGGTGCTTCCTCACACTGTGGAGCCTTGGGCAACTGGCTGATGATGCAGTTAGCAATGCAAAATGAGAAGCGGTATCATTTAGTGAGGTTGCTTGTTGTTGTTTTTTTAACTCTGCTTGCTTCATCTTTTGATGCGATTCACTTAAAAATGTAGCACAATAATAGCAGCAGAAGGATGAAAAAGCACTAGTGCTATTATGGCCAGCAGCTGGGATCTATCTGTTTATTTATTCATGGTGATATCTTCGGTTTATGTTACTAGTAGTCATTGAAGGAATTCCAGGGAACCAGAAAGGTACCTGAAATTCTATTAGCAGAGGTGTCAAGTACATTTTAATATAGGAAAGAACATATTCATAGTAGGTATATTTCACCAAGGGAGAATTCAGGAATGTCTCAGCACTCTAAAAAATGTCCTACTCCATTTCAACTCAGCTTGCCAGTCCACTTTAATGCTCATTATCTTCTGCTGTCAACTATGCTCCCATTTTTTTAAACTCTATGATTTTTGTGTTTTAAATGATTCGTGGTTTGCTGAATGAAGTCTTTGAAGTATGTCATGGGTATTCTCTATAAAAATCAATGAAATGTAACTGAACCAAATCTAATTAAGTGTCTATGTGATTTAGAAGACTTTTCCTTCAGCTGCCATTTGCATTAAAAAGATTTGTAGACTTGTTTACCTAAGACTCCCCATTGGAAATTTTTTAACACAACTAAAACTGTGGATTCAGTGCTCACAAGTAAAAGAGGAATGGGAGAGTGGTATAATGCAATCCCACATTTCTTTGGGAATTAATGTGAATTATACATAAAAATAGAAACAATTTCTGCATATATGTTAGAGTCATGCAGTTCTGAGAAATCACTTCTTCAATTAAAAGTATCTGGGGTAATGACTTTAATTATCAAAATTATGTTTGTCATTATATATTCAGCTCCAATGAACTGGTTCATGTAGATAATAATTATGCAACCTCTGCTTCCTTTAAAAGATGTTACCTTCATTATGTTAAACTATTGTGTTTTTTGTACATCAGCATGAAATCATTGAAACAGATGAAAGCAGCTTTTTCATAGTACAATAGATGTTATTTTGGGGGAAAAATTAAAATGTCACCCTTAATCAAAGGCAGAGCTGAGTCTAAAAGTGAAGTATACATGCAAACTTTACATGCAGGGACATTAAAAAGCATTTTTCCTTCCCTTGTACTGATAGATGAAGCTGGTAGGGCAGGGAGAGAGAACAAGGAAAGTAAGGAGCAGTTTTAATATATGCATTCCCTTCTTCAGAGGTGGCAAAAACCCTCGTTTGGCTTATGGTGGAGTTCATATTGTGGAGAAAGGAAGGGATTGCAATTGGACAGTACCATGTATGTGCGGTATTCTGTGCTCTGTGGTCAGTGAATTTCCAACAGAAAATCTACCTTGAAGTTGATGCTGCTCCAAGAAGCATGAACTAACGGCTATGGTTTCTTCCTCCTTCATATGGAAGTCAGTGATCTCCATGCTCCAGCACTGGCAGTCTACCTATGCTAAGGAGAACCAAACTGTTATCAATACAAGAATGTGGTTTCTTTCTTGCAAACACATGCTGGAGATGTGCTGCATCAATGTAAGTGGGGCTCTCACCAGGGCAGTTCACAGTAATCTAATTGCAGGCCAAGAGACACTGGTGGGATCCCCATTCAGCACTGGTGCTTCATGTCTACACTAAGGTTTTGCACCCATGCAGTAGGTACCTCAAGATAGTGACAATAGTGCAAATTGCCTTAAAGTAGACAAGGGGATGAGATTATGGGGGGGAGGGGAGGAGGTAACTCTTGTTTTTCCACAGAGTTCAATGGACTTTCCCATGCTGTCCCGTTCCCCCCAGCATGAAGTCGGAAATTTTTACTGCACAGTTTCCAGGAAGAATGGGAAGGAAACTGTGTGATGCAGAACTCCCAGGTGGTGTTCTGGGCAACAGGGTCCTTAATCTTTGAAGGACAAGGTGACACAATAATGATGGCATCAAATAGCAGAACACCTCTGGGCACTAGGTTCTTTCCCTCTCTGCAGGTATCTGTTGAGCATGTCTATACTGCATTCATACCTCTCGACAGTGAAACCAAAACACACCACTTGAATTAGCCACTGGCAGCTGGCATGGTAGACCTGCCCTCAGGCTAATATGCCCTTGCACCGCTGTCTTGAGTCAAAGTGCCTGGCTGCTGCAGCCATTGCCCTTTGTTTTCAGTGCCCTGCTATTCCTACCTGCTCTTTCCAGATGTCCTACAAACCACTACTCCAGGAAAACTCTTTTGGCCTCATGGCTGGCAGTGGTGATCACCTGGCAGCTTGTGACCACATGCTTGGGCTTGCTGTCTGCATTCAGTGGGAAGCCACAGACCCCACTTAGCATGGGGTGAAATCCATGGCTGTCCTCTGCTCATTCCCACCCCCACCCATGCCTGGCAGAAGCAGAAGCAGTTGGTATAAATCCAGAGGCCCCAGCTCTGAGCACCCCATCCATGGTTCTCCACAGAGCTCCTAGTCCTATTTGGAGCAGCAGGAGTCATTGGGACGAAGCCAGTGACTCTGACCCAGTGGGTCCCCACCCTTCCCAGTGCATGGTGCCCAGAGGCAGATGGAAGGTGGTGTGTTGCATCCCACTGTCCTGACATTGGAAAACCTCCTCTGCATGCACATTGATTGTGATGGTGATGTAAAAAAATTGACATGGGCGTTAAGGACCCAATCCTCTCAAACAGTCACAGTAGGAAGGGAACAAATGAAGAAAGAATGTATTTGAACACTGGCAGGGCAGCTGCACTAGACATTTACCACTGCAGCTATGAGGAGCAGGGCCAGTACAGGCTGGTTTATGTTGCAGGCAGCGCAGCAGTGAAGAACATGGCAGCCCTTCTGCTTTCCATGGTGACGACCAGCAGCAGCCTAGCTGCCGAAAGCAGATGCAGTGTGAACCAGATCACTGTGCCCTGTCACATGTATGGGGTATGCACGTGGTCCAAGGTAACAGCCATCACTCCTGTATCTTTGCATGAGGGTGACACAGTAAGGGC